ACTAATTTGAATTCCAAATGCCAATTAAAATTTTGAATACAAATGTTTAGACATAGGTAGTATTGAATAACAAGGTCAATTTGAAAAATATGCAACTAGTTGCTACCCACAATTTCAACGAAAATGCAACTAGATTGGTTAGAAAGTGGCGAAAATAAAAATCACAGCTAATTAAGCTTTTCTTCCTCATTGGTGATATTATGCAAAACCCATTACCCTCACTGTAGACTTCAACCTCGAAACATAACATCATAAAAAAAACCGATAGCCATAAAAATAAATATAAAAAAACCATTAACACAAACTCAGGGGTGCAAGTGCACAGCTTGAATCATATTTCTTTGTCTTGAACAAAAAAATATACACACACACACCTTTGGAGCTGAAGAAAAAGAAGGGAGAAATGGATCAATCCTCGATGGAGAAACTGATCTCGTGACCTGGGAATCGGACAGAATCGCGACGATCACCATCAACCGGCCTAAGTCCCTCAACTCATTGACCCGGGCAATGATGAAGAATCATGCTCAGGGGTTCAAGGCCCTGGGAAAGGACAATTCCGTACGGGTCATAATCCTTACAGGGTTAGGTCGGGCGTTCTGTTCTGGCGTCGATCTGACGGCGGTGGAAGACGTGTTCAAGGGTGATGTGAAGGACCTGGAGTCTAACATTGTTGCCCAGATGGAACGGTGCCCCAAACCCATTATCGGAGCCATTAACGGGTTCGCAGTCACCACCAGGTCACAAGGATCATTGGAAAACAACGCCCCATCGAAGCCGAGCTCTTGCGCCTCGAATAATTGACCGTGCTTCTTGGCGAGGAGAGGGGATGTGGGGACGAAGAGGGGAAGAAGACGATGGAAGCTAGCAAACAGAGTAAAACCCTAGATCCCCAAATCCCCAATTTTATTTCCCTAAACAATTTAAGGGATAAGAGTAATTTGTTTGATTGATGATTTTGGGTATTTGATCGTGGCACCTCCAACTCAGCATCCATCTAAAAAAAAAGGCCACGTCAGATGCAGGGCTTATGAGGACCGTTAAAAACTAACAGAAGATGGTGCCGGCGTTAACAGAGGGAGTGATTTGCCACTGCAGGTGAGTTGAGGGGGTAATCTGCGTGTAAAGTGGGTTGAGGGGGTGATTTGCCACCAATAGGTGAGTTAAGGGGGTGATCTGCATGTTTTGCCTTTTATATATATAACATATGATGACAATGGTTTATATGAAAAAATAATAATTTTTTTTAAATTTCTTCCTATTAAACTTAAAATTAAAATTTAAAATTT